TGAGAATAAAGCACGCACATCAATTCAATCGGAGGCAAAAACATAGAGGCCTACATTTAAATCTGCATATGGAATGATTTGCGCTATTTTTATCGGCGTGGCAAAATATCTAAAATCAATACGGCCCTGATAATATATTATTCTCACATATGCGCAAAGATAGCAATCGTCAATAACGTACAACAACAAAAACATATTTATATAATGAATGTTTTGCTGTGCGGTTTTCGTGATTTATTCGATGATATAAGTCTCTAATCCTAAAAAAATCGAACGAAACAAAAACAAGCAAGCTATATTTATTACATTGACGCAATTGCTGTTTTGTTTTTGTGCAGATTTACAATCGTTTGTTTTATTTATTGAAACGTTTTTCCAACTAAAAATATTATACGAAACTATTCTATAATTTAACTGGATTTTCAATAATATCATGACAATATTAACAAAATTGCTGAAAATTTACAAAAAAAAAATCATTAATTAGATTAAACAAAGAGTAAACAAAAAGTAATTGAAGAAATTCGTTCTTAAAATAATAAACAGTGTCAATCAAATTTGCAAAAGTAATCTTAAGGTAACTTAATTATTAAGAAAATAATATAATTATTATATACAATAAGAGTGGTCAAACTGTGGCTCTTCAAGAGTTTTGTTATGGCTGAAATAACAAATAAAATATATATTATGATTCAGATTTTTTTTTTTAAATTTTTATAACTACTGCCAATATGGTGCTACTGCCAATATTTTCAGGTAGGTAACTTGTTGGAAAAATCCTAATCTAGACTATAAAATTTTAGCAGAAAATCCAAAGTTAAACAAAAAACAGATCGTTTATTTCATTTATTGAAACGTTATATCAACTCATCATTTATATAAATTATTATTGATGAAAAAAAGAAACTTTCTCTTTGATCTAATCAATAGGATTTATTAAAAACTTATATTGGAATTTATTTTATGGAATTTATATGTATAAGTAAAACTCAATTTCATTAATATGTGTATAGGATTAAGACATTGAATATAGTGAACACTCTTTAATCCAATACAAATCGAATGAAATATACAACTAAAAAGAATATACATTATTATTAATTACAAAATCTTTCTGTAAAATTACGTTTTGCTGAAACTATTCAATCAAAACGTGAAAAAAATAACTATAATTTGAACTTTTTTTTCTATGTAGTGTACAAAATGCTTTTTTTTTCTATACGGTTTTGTGATTTATTTAATAATTAAATAAATTAAGTATTATATTTCATTAAAATTTTTACTTTAAAAGCCAATTTGTTAAATTTATAAAATTTATCCACTATATTTGAACCACTCAAAACACGACTTATGTGTATTTGATAAAAAAGTGTCTGACTGGAAGTAAAATTAATTTGTCAAATATAAATTGAGAGAAAATAACTAATCAAGTTATTACGACACTGAAGCATCTAAGTGTTAAATAAATACTATTAAGTACACTGACTTTAATCTGGACTCTTCCATAAAACCCACTTGAACTCCTCATCGACAATGCAACAAATTATTCCACAGTGTCCAGTGATATTCCATCCCGGGACACGACACATTAATGAATGTTATGTAAGAGATACTAAATATTAAACTATGTTATTATTAGATGGAAATACTGCAATCACTAGCAATTTGTGTGTATTTTTAAATCTTAATTCATAATATTGACAAGTACAATTTTAATACCAAAATTTTCAGACGATTATTACAAAATATTGGATTTACAACAAAAACACAAAATTGCATTGTATTTATTCACATATTTATATTATTTTTACAAAGACTTATGCCTAATCTTTGTAGAAATAATAAACATCATACAAATAATATAGTTAAAAAGTAATATGATTTTTGTACAATTTTGTGACTTATTTGCATTTAATAAAAACGTTTAAAAGATATTTTCAAAATTAAAAAAAAAATAACTTCAACTTATAAAATTTTCAAGTTACATTTCATTATAATTACTTTTAAAGTTTAATTTAGTATATTAATAGAAAATCTTTGAAAAAATCATTATTATTTACATTAATTTATGCAAAATCAAGATTCAATTGATTAATATTAAGTCATTAATTGAATTTTATAAACAAATACTTTCTTTCAATTATTTAAGTCAATTTCTATCATTTTTCATCAGTAAATTTTGGAGATGATTTCCATTAGTAATATTACACATAATACAAATTCACGACTAAAGAAGATTTTAAACGAAAAATATTATCGTTTGATGACCAAAAAATAAAAGTTTTTAAGAACTTAATAAATAGTGAACGAAACAATCAAAATTGTTATTGAAATAAAAAAATATATAATATTTTTAACACGAACGAATTTTCATACAATTATGTATTTTTAGTAAATGAATATTTTATAAGTAAATATTATGAAATAAACACAATACAAATTTGAATTTGATGAAAATGGAAACAATAACTTCCATATCCTATAAATATTATATTATATAACAGCATTTCAATACAATACGCGAGTAAATAGAGTTTGTAAACAAATTGGATAAAATAATCAATCACAATTTATTGATTTCTATTGTTGTTATTTACAAATAGCAAATTCAATAATAATTTAATATAATAATACAAACTGTTTCAATTATGACAATAAATATTATTATTAACATATTTATCTATTATGAAAATATAATTATGAGAACAATTATATTAATTTTGGCCGTTTGTGTAAGTTGACTTTTTTGAAATTATATATATTTTTTCTTTGTAAAATTTATTTTATAATTTAATTTTGCATTTTCTTTAATTTTCTGATTAGTTCATTTTTATTTGAATTAAACCTAATTTACATACATATGAATTTGTAAATCTGCTGTGGTTCAATTCAAAATACAGAATTAGTTTGTAGAGAAGTGTGTTTTATTTCTGGTTGATGTAGAAGACTTACAAAGTTCCATGCGAAACTTTAGTCAGTATAGAAACTAACATTTTGGTCACCGAAACTTAGTTGACGTCTTTGTTAGCTGTCGTCTGTAACTGTTATACCAAGCGTACAACTTGTCATTCAAATGAAAAATAGTATAAAATAAAAATTCATATTTCGTTCAACATTCATATTTTATTTATTGTTTGAATTTTACATAATTTACTTATGAAATGTTCAAATATTAAAACTTAGAACATTTCATTAATGAAAATTCATCTTAATTGCATAATATTATTGGTTTATATGATTATTTTGATATTAGTGGAAAGTATAGCCTCTTTTACTCTTTGTTTTTCAATGATCTAATTCTGCCATGAAACGAATTTTTTTATTTAAGATTTGTATTAGTAATTTTCTTTAGTCATGATAAAACTTATTTCATATCAATCAATCAAACATTTCATGTTTTCATTAAAATAGTTCATTAAATAGTGAATCCGCGAAAACACGTTTTTTTTTCCTATTGCGAAAATATTTGTCAATGTTTTATATTCTTACCATTTTTTTGGTAACTTTTGCAGTAAAGGACGTTTTTTTGTCAAATATTAGCATTTAACTTAATTGTATTTTAGTACAGTAATACCTCGCATAGTGCGGATAATTGGTTTCGCCAATATTCCGGACTATTTGAAACCGGACTAATCGAAGAATTAATTGCTTACAAAAAGTAAACAGCACAGAAAAGAAACTTGTATAAAGCGAAATTAATTGTGCCTAAAATTTTCTATAGAAAATTTGTACTATGCGAGGTATTTATGTATGTTATAAAAAAAAATAAGTTTTGTATATAAAGTATTTTAGATAAAAGCATTCAAATATTGTCATGAAACGAAATTTTTGTTTAAGATTTTTATTTAAAATTTTCTTTAGTTGTGATAAAACATATTTCACATGGAAATATACTAATTTTTCATTAAATAGTGAATCCTGACTGATCGAAAATGTGTTTTTTTTTCTTATTAGGAAAATATTTGTCAATATTTTATATTCTTACCACTTTTTTCGTAACTTTTGCAGTAAAGGATCAAAATTTTAGCAAATATTAGCATTTAACTTAATTGTATTTTAGTACGGTAATACCTTTTAGTGCGGATAATTAGTTCCGCCAATATTCTGGACTATTTGAAACCGGACTAATCGAGGAATTAATTGTTTCAAAAAGTAAATAGCACAGAAAAGAGACTTGTATAAAGCGAAATTAATTGTGTCTAAAATTTTCTATAGTAAATTCGTACTATTTGAGGTATTTCTGTATATTAAAAAAAAATAAGTTTTGTATATAAAGTATTTTAGATAAATGCATTCAAATATTGTCGGAATTCTTGTGAGAAATAGTTTGTAGCTTGTTTATAAACGAGACATTCTTGGGGTGACGAATTAAAGTTTCATACATAGCAAATGATTTATGCATGTCATTTCATCGCGACGTGTCAACTCTATTCTTTTCATTTTATATTTTGTATTTACTTTAGTGCTAAGGGTAGATAAACAAAAGTTTCCTCGCCTCGTTTAACTTACTTAATAAATTTCTACAATAGCAACAAACTAAAACGCTCGGAAATATTTGATGAAAATCGTGCGTTATAAGCACGACACGCCAATGAAAACAAACGTAATTAAGTAATAGGAGGCACGTAAAACCGTGTGCAATATGATGCAAGTGGTTTGTATGCACGAAGCGAAAACAAACGCAGAAAAAAAAACTATCGATAAAACAATAAAAACTGGTTTTAATAATAAATTACGCTGCAAAATACAATGTTTACTTTTACTGAAAGAGAGAAGTTATTAAAAAAAAACTTAAGTTGAAGTAATTAGTTTAAGTGTGTGTGGATGCGCCGGGTAGTTGGAATCAAAAAGACCGTTTTCCGTGGGAAAAATGTAAAGGTTGAATTGAAATAATAAAAAAGAAAAGTTGTAAAAGAAAACAATGAGATTGGAGAAGCGCTCCTTGATTATGTAATTTTCCTTGCGATTAAATAATTTCTGAAATGTGGAAATTCGCTTACCGCTCTGCTGGAGGCGGTTAGGACGATCGTCGCGACGACGGCTGCGAACAGGGGTGCTTTCATCGTGCTTCGAGCAAGTCGCATGCAAGACTGAAATACTTGGAGCTTTGCAAGCTCTTCAAAATAAAACCTAGGCGCATACTTCGTGGGGGGAAAGCACGCGCAGTTTCGCGCGTTTCTACTGAAGGGCGCGCTCCGATGCGACGCCTGACAACCGATCGATACAGGAATTACAGAAATCTGTTTGATCCTACTGAAAATACATAATTCAAAACGAAATATTTTGATCAATTTAGCCATTAATTTCAAAGAAATACATGAATTTATAAATACAATTGTAGTGACTTTCCAAATCCGTTTAATTTCGAGACAACTGTCCGATATGTGGTCCAAAAACCTAATAAACCGTCTGAACTCAATCGTGCAAACTAAAACTGGCTTCTTAAAACCTCGCTTAACGAGCATAATCCATTCCAGAATTTCAGGATTTTTAGTTGTAAAGTGAAACAATTTTTTCCCATATAAACTATTGTTAAATAAAGTAAAGTGTGTTAACGTCTCAGTATATTTATTTATATGTCTTATATTGATCCAGTGTTTTTTTTTGTCAAATATTAGCATTTAACTTAATTGTATTTTAGTAAAGAAATACCTCGCATAGTGCGGTTCCGCCAATATTCCGAACTATTTGAAACCGGACTAATCGAAGTATTAATTGCTTACAAAAAGTAAACAGCACAGAAAAGAGACTTGTATAAAGCGAAATTAATTGTGTCTAAAATTTTCTATAGTAAATTCGTACTATGCGAGGTATTTCTGTATATTAAAAAAAAATAAGTTTTGTATATAAAGTATTTTAGATAAATGCATTCAAATATTGTCATGAAACGATTTTTTTGTTTAAGATTGTTATTTGAAATTTTCTTTAGTCGTTATAAAATATATTTCATATCAAAATATACTAATTTTTCATTAAAACAGTTCATTAAGTAGTGAATCCGGATTAATCGAAAACTCGTTTTTATTTTCTTATTGCGAAAATATTTGTCAACATTTTATATTCTTACCATTTTTTTGGTAACTTTTGCAGTAAAGGACGTTTTTTTTTGTCAAATATTAGCATTTAACTTAATTGTATTTTAGTACAGTAATACCTCGCATAGTGCGGATAATTGCCAATATTCCGGATTATTTGAAACCGGACTAATCGAAGAACTAATTGCTTACAAAAAGTAAACAGCACAGAAAAGAGACTTGAAATACATGATTTTATAAATACAATTGAAGTGACTTTGCAAATCCGTTTATTTTCGAGACAACTATCCAATATGTGATCCAAAAACCTAACAAACCGTCTGGACTCAATCGTGCAAACTAAAACTGGCTTCTTGTTAAAAACAAACCACCCCAATATTATTCTCCTCGTATATCTCACAATCTAAAAATACAGTAAAACCTCGCTTAACAAACATAATCCATTCCAGAATTTCAGGATTTTTAGTCGTAAAGTGAGAAAATCCTTAAGTGAAATATTTTTTTCCCATTTAAACTAATGTTAAATAAAGTAAAGTGTGTTAACGTCTCACTCCATTTGTTTATATTTCTTGTATCGACCCGGGGCTTTGTGGAGGTTTCTTTATACTTTCTGTATTTGTTTATTTATATACTATAATAGTTGGACACAATTTCTTTTACAGCAAACACAAATTATATTTTCAAACTATGGTCAGCTATAAACAAAGATGATCAAAAAAAAGAAGATTTGCTTGTAAAGCGGGTTGTCTGCCCCCAGAAATTTTTTCGTGGACGCCTATGGACTGAGTGAAAAGTCAAATATCTTACGTCAATTATAACCTTTAAACGTTTAAATTTTTCTTATACATTTTTTAATGATATTGAAGCAATTTATAACAATTGTGGGAAAAATATTTAAATTTTCATTCAATTCTACTTGAATGAAAATTGCAAATGTGCTTCGCAAGTTAATTTGTAAAGTATGCCTAAATAATGTCATAATATCACGTATTATTCTAAATTACTTCAAGAATTATTAAAATATATATAACAAATGTATTGGCGTTTGAAGTTTGTAATTGACTTAAGATATTTGAGGTTATTCTCAGTCAAAATCAGTGGCGTACATAGCAACAAAACTATTATTTATAATTAATGACAACATATAATTCACAACATATTTAAAAAATGCACATAATATGTGTATGAAAGTTTTGAAAATGATGTATGAATGATGTATAGTTGATGTACAATTTATTTTGCTCGTTCCGTCGCAAGCGCACAATCCGGTACTTCTCTTCTCTTCATCACTCATTATATGAAACGTAGATCGTTAAGCGAGTCATTTTTGTTTTTCTCGTTAATCAAAATACTCGTTATGCGAGGTTCCACTGTAATTACACCACATCGTTTTCTTGTGCGTTCACTAAAATAGACCAAATTATTTATTACGAACGCTGAGCATGTTAAATCAACTGCAATTTTACACATTCTTGCAAAATAATCATCTCGTGTGACTGACTAACCAACATATAAAATCCGCATGATACCTGGATTTGTAAACTCTTTCCATAAGGCTTCTTCTACAAAAACAAACACACTTTAAGCCAAAATAAAAAGTATAGTATTTTCACTATAAGTGATTTTGGGCTAAATCAAAGTTAAAGACAATGACATTTTTTTAATAATTTCAATTCTTTTTTGTAATATGTATTTCGAGTACAATTTAATTTTCTCTAAAAAGTTAAAATATTAACTTAATTTTTTTTATTAAATAAATTTATTAAAAATTTAAATTCAATTAACGTATGAAGTTTTGAAACTATTTTAATTCTAATTGCATAAATTATACTTAATGTAAAAAGAAACTTATCTCTATGGAGTAATAACATTTAAATTGTATTATATGTACAAATAAGTTATTTTGAACAGTAGAGTTTAATTTTCTATAAAAACTAATGAAATTTATCTGTTTCTCTTGCTAAATAAAAGTTAAAAATTCTAACACAGTTTACATAACAAACGTATTAAATTTTAATGTAATCTAAACTCCAATTGCAGTGAAGCTATTGCAGATGAAACAATTACTTTTATATTTAAAGTATAAACATTTTCGAATTTAAATAATATAAATATTGCTATTGGTTTTTTTTATTAACATTGAGTAAATTTAAGATCGCGGTTGACATTAAATGGATAATCTTTCCCAGTAGATAGTTACCATTATAATGATTTTATTTTTAATTTGTTGGTTGGCTGTCGTCTTGTAGGTTAACTTTAGTATATTGATACTCTGCGATTCCACTATTTCTTTTGACTGTAAATCTGCTGCTAACACTGTCATTGTCCATCGACTTGGCTGAAGGTCCATATGCTGAATTTCATTCATTTCACTGTCCATCTGTGATGAACGATGGCCCTAAAGCTGCAAGCACCGAGAGGGCTCACAAAGGGCCTGGCTTGACCAGGATACGAACCGGCGCGCACGAAATGAGTAGGTCGACTTAACTATTCAGTTAAGTCATAGCTGCAATTGGAATTGTATGAAAATACTTAAAAATGTGGCGATAAAAACATCTTCTTTTAATTATTACTTTTAAGTAATTATTAATTATTTACTCATAAGTTTTTTTTTTTAATTTAGAATATATATGTTATAAAAGTAAAGTTAAGCTTTAAAAGTCTTGTGTTTGTAGTGAACTGACAAATTTTTGTGACGATATACATTATATTATTTTCTTTTCTGCAATCTAAACAATAAATTATTTACGATAGTGTTGTAACATTAGAAAAGTTTCACATTCATGTAATTCAAGCAAAACAGTACGAACAAAGCAGTAGTTTCCCTTTTATTAGCAAATAGTTGATATAGAAAATGTAATGAATGAGAAGAATAGAAAAAGTGAATTAGGGAAAGCTGAAATTATTAATGTTACCGTATCCTATATAAAAACAAAGCGTGCATCTAATGGTGGTACATTTGTTATACATGTATTAGAAAAATAAACTTGAATAAGCATGGATACTAAAAAGAATATAGAATTGTGCGTATTTTCTAAAAGAGGTCTTGGACATTTTCAATATTGGAGCGTAACTGATATGACAAAAATTAAATATATAAGAGCTCACATGTTATCAATTTTTGCATACTGTGGTACTGTGGGACTGATATGGAATATTTTCAAAAAAATAGGCAAGTCGTAATTTTTTCTTTGGAATTTTTCAAAATCTGTAAATTTTTAGAAAAGGACAAGTTTGTTTTCATTGCGATCGGTGAAGAGCTTGCAGGTTCAATGGCTCATTCGATGATGATGTTTATATTCTACAGACACGTGAATTACCACAAAGAATTGGAGAAGGTGCTTTTCGCATTGGGTGATTTCAGTGTTTACGAGAAACCAATTGGAATTGACAAATTGAATAAAAACGTTGAAACGATAATCAAATGGTCCGCCCTCATTTCCAGCATCTCTTTGTTATTCATATGGTTGTATTGCATGTTGATTCACTGCGAAGACTATGTTGAAGATAGTTGCGGCCTCATGTATCCATCCTATTTTCCAATCAACATTTACGAGAGGAACGGAAGACGAATTATGACAACTATTCAGGTCATTATTATAATTCACGTTTCTCAGGGTGGCTGCTTCGTGGCCTGCACCGTCATATCACCTTCCGTGTATTTAAGCAACAGAATAATGCACATGGTTCACATGATTCAGCAGATTAAACAGATCGAAGGTCGTCCGAAGAGAAAAGAACACCTGAAGAAAGTTGTTCAATATCATCAGAATATTATATAGTTCGGTTTAATATACGGCTCAAACTAATTGCTAGAACTCTATACAAATTTTTGTTTGTTTTAGTTTATGGGAGAAATACTGCGGATTGATAAATCCCAGTTTATTAGTTCTTTACATCTGCGCACCGATCGTCGTGAGCACAATTCTCCTTCAATTTTTCTACGTAATTATTATTATTTTTGTCTATTATGTAATCTCGTCTACTATTCCATATTATTTTGCAGACAATATCGTTGCTCAACATAGTACACTTTTGGAATTGGGTCGGTATCACCTTTTTTGGTGCTGTT